CCCTAAGCGTTATTTTTCTATTTTTATCGTACACTTGGATCGATTTTGCTAATATTTACAGTGTACCATTACCCGCCTGAACGATTCGCTAGTCAATGGAAACAGTAGTATAACAAAACCGCGGCCAAATGTGTATGTAGATTCTGACATAATTATCGTCGTTTATGTATGATGAAAAATTGTTGTCTTTGAACACGCACCACGTACGTGTCGTCAACGGAAAGAATTAATGACGGAACCGTAAAATTACGGTTTTCTCAATTTTACAGTTAATTTTGGTTTTATTCAGAATAAAATTCTACGTGAATGGGTGTGTTTTTCTTATTTCAAGGTGGAAATAAAAAACTGACGCGCATGCGTAATAATATAAAATTATGTCTAAGTTTTGCTTGTATTTAAATTTGTAATATTATAAGTTTATATATTACACTAAAATAATGTATGCGCATTTTATTCGGTGTTTCCCAACGTGGGGCCCACGCTCCACAGGGGGGCAATTTGATAGTTAAGGGGGGGCAATTAAAAAATGAACTCTAAGCGATTTTAACCTTCTTGTTCTGGGCCATTTAAATGCAATGCTACGAGTTGATATAGGTGCCAATTTAACAGAAAAAGTAAATAAAAAAAATGCTGTAAATATTAATTAGGTATAATTTCGTTTGACGTTACCAAAATATCAACTGGGCAATAAGGGTCGTCAAGTAAAAACATGGCACAAAAAAGGTTAGAAAACACTGCATTAATCGGTTCGTAGTCAGATTACATTTTAAAATTATGTTTGGTGTTATCAATAAAAGTCATATTAAATGATGATGAAAAAAAAATTGCAGAAAGTTAAACTACTATTCTCACTATTCTCTACATTGCAAATCGGGCAGTATAATAAAAAATATGACTGTATCATTATGTTTGTAAACATATCTATTTGAATGAAGAGCAAGTAAATAATCAATAATGTATTAGTATGTCCTTGATTTTTATGAAGGAAGTGGCCTTATTGTCTTACAAATAGAAACACTTGAGCATAGTAGGTGTCTGTGTCATTATTATGGTTAATTTATTAATGGAAAATATGAACGACGTCGAAAAAAGTTGCGTCTATATATTTTTAGTTTATTTAATTTTGAAAGTATAGCCAAATATTTTTAATGAAAAGGATTTTTTTTTCTTTTATCAGATATATATGTAGTTTGGTAATTCATACAGAATCCACTTTTAATCTCCACGTTTATGTAAGTAATTAGTTTATGTGAGTCAGCAGCCTGATTTCAAAAATTTTTAGGGTATTTTTTTTATTCAATAGTGTAAATACTGAGGCCTATTATCTCTGTCTCTACTATTAATAGCCTAAACTGATCTAACCTATACTTACATTCGTATTAAATCGACCATATGAACACACAAATTGTATAAAAATTGTAAATTTACTTCTATTAATTAGTCTTCTTGGAATTAGAGGAGAAAAACACAACAGACCAATTCAAAAAAGGAACATTTATCATTATTTTTACTGATATCATAAAATTGTAACTAGATGTCTGTTCAAGGGAGATACTTAAGAAAAGTTGATATGAGGGGTCTTAATATCAGCAAAAGAGGTCAAAACAATAAAAAAAAAAAGAAATGTTGTCTCTTTGTTTATCTGTGTGTTTGTTCTGCCATCACGTAAAAAATAACAGCACTAAATTAGATGCGCTACAGTTGTTTTTTTATGCAACTTAGAATGGCAAACAAGCTGATGGCCCACCTGATGGAAAGTGGTACCTGTCATAAGTAAGTACATAAGTAGTACAATGGACATAACAGGGTATACTGTTTCGTCCATGATACCCCAATGCGTTGCCATTTCTGAAGACTAAGGTGTTATGGCTCAGTACCTTGTAAATTCACTGCCATATCGCACCCTACAAACCGAAACACAGCCACGTAAACACCACTGCTTCATGGTTGAAATACGAATGGGACAGATGTACCCAAGCAAACGATTTTTGTACAAAGTCTCCCTCTGATAATTTACTAGGAACTAACCACGTTGGTTTCCCGAGGGGACCATTCGGTGGTCGATCTGATTGGATATATTGAGAATTTGTGAGCAGTGGTCATAGGTGTTTACTATTGTGTGCTGTTCACTACTTTGCATATTCATGGTATAAAAAAATGTGGCTGTTATAATTCCTTATCATTCGAACCAATCTCTTTTCCTCCTTAGGTAAGACCTGTAATCCACAATGTATTTAAGGGATGTAGTTCTTATGATGGCACAAGACAGTGGACAGGCTATATAATGTGTAAATAATATTTTTTATGTCAGCCACGTACTACAACTTTAGTGCGTTTTTATCACCAAGCTAATGTGTTAAACGTTTACACAAGCAGAGACTTACGCTTATCATATCAGCTAGTTTTCTTAACCATAAATTATTTATTTGACATGATTCATTGGTCTTTCATAGTTTTTATTTTAATACATATATTTTGATATTTTTGATATCTTGAAGACCTGTAAGACATTAATAATTAAAGATTATGCTCTAAAAAAAAAAAAAAAACAATTTCCATTGTGACATAATTTTGATCTAAAAACTTAACTATTGAACCGATTTTAATAAAATTTCTATGGGACAAATTGGTAAGTATGTCTTTTCAGATAAAAAATAATTTTCCAAATTAGCTTAGAACTGAATGTAATGCTATGCGGTAACAAACAAAAAAAAAATACAATCGAATTGAGGCCCTCCTTCTTTTTCTTCGGTTGACAATTCTAAATACATAAGTCATGAGAGCTACATAAGGATTGGGTTTGTACTTCTTTGTCATATAGAGCATTGTTGCTAACGTTGTAAGTGGTCTACGTGACATAATACAATTAGGTCAAGATGTATCTCTTGCTTCTGAGAAAGTATACAACGGTTTTTATTTGGGATAAAAATTAAAATGATATGACATCATAATCTTTATAATACTAGCTTTTACTCGCGACATTATCCGTGTGACCGGGATATGTTCATTGGTCAGGATAAAAAGTAGCCTATGTCAATCCCATATAAGTATGTATTATTTCATCGTGATTAAGTAATTAAATCGTTAAGGCGTTATCGGTAATCGGTAAGAGCTAACAGATAAACTTAGTTTTACATTTATAAATATTATAATATGAATAAGGGCTTATATATAAGGGATTTTTTCAAAAAATAAATATATGTTTAAATGTTAAAATATTATGTTCATTTTGTTTTATACTTTTTTGAGATTACGGCGTTACATTACGTGATATGGGTTACTCACTTTACAAAGTAATTCTACACCCTGCATGTCTAGTGTTTATATCGTATATTGTGAGAACCAAACAGTCCCAGACGTGGAGTCAGCGATTTCTATATTCATTCCCAGTGGTCGATGCTTGACGTGTAATCAGAAGTTAATTAATCGTCTTAGTGATTAATAGTGAGTTAACGCCATCATGTTTAAATTTTTGTTTTTAAAATCGATTAGAGGGTCATACGGCTCTCGAAAGTCTACTGATATTTCGAATGAAGGTACAAAATATATACTAGCTGAAATAAACTTTTGTGGTTTTTACGTGAAAACAATTTCCGCAATTTAATGAGGTTTCACTTCGACAAACTTTTGCTTAAAAAAGTACATTTAGTGCAAGAAAAGTTTAGATAATTAAGATAATTTTTAAAGATATATTAAAGAAATCTCCATAATTTTTAAAGATATATTAAAGAAAGAACGCATTTTTTGGGGCTATTTATTGTTTTTTTTTTTAATCGGAAAACCAAATAAACTTATTTCAGCTTTTTTTCGTTATTATGAGACGATCAACAGAGGAGACTAGAAAAAATTATAGAATTTCTGATGGAAGATAACATTATATAGGGTCATAGAAATTTTGAAAATGCCTCTAGTCTCCTCAAGTGATATTTACGAATAAATGTCTTATTTATTAACAAATATCTGTAAATGGTTTGAGTTGCTACTGTCTTTATGGCAGTGATATTAATTTATAATGTTTTAATTATTACGGTCAATCCGTTTTTCGTCTGGTTTTATACCATTATCATATAGGGTTAGGATAAATAATAAAATGTACAGGAGATGGACAAAATATTTTGACCATCCATTACTAATATGGTGCATTCAACTGCAAATTTAGTATAGGAAAATAAAAATTATTCGTCGTTTTGAAATTTTTAATTTACTAAATATCTGTAGCATAGGTCTATACTTAGTTTTATGAATTGTTTTTCAATTTATTCCTATATATTGTATTTTTTATTACATCATCTTGTGATAAGAAGATTGGACAAAGAACGGAAAGACATGGGCAGACATTATTTTCGTCGTTTTAGAATTTTTAATTTACCAAATATCTGTTGCATGGGTAGATACTTAGTTTTACGAATTATTTTACAATTTATCCCTGTATATTATATTATTTATTATATCATCTTGTGATGATAAAATAAGATTGGACAAAGAACGGGGAGATAGGGGGAGACATTGTTTTTCGTTGTTTTGGAATTTTTTATTTACCAAATACGTGTAATATGGATACATATTTAGTTTTACGAATTGTTTTTGAATTTATCCCTGTATATTGTATTATTTATTGCATCATCTTATGATGATAAAATAAAATTGGACAATGAACGGGAAGACAGAGGGAGACTTTGTACAAAAGTTGTCTGTTTGGGTACTTTTGTCCTCTTCTTGTTACGGCAGTGAAGCACTTTTGTTTGCATGGCTGTTTTGCTTTGAAGGATGAGACATGACAATGTTAATAATAATAATATCTAAGTCCTCAGGAATGACAATTTATGAAGGGTATCATGGGCGACATAGTATACTCTGTTACGTTCATAATATGGTTCATATGTATAGGCGACGGTTATCACTTTTTATCAAAGGTGGGCCGTCAGTTTAATTACGATTCTAAGTTACATATATATAAAAAAATAAAAATTGTGTTAATGCAGAATTGCTCCTATTTCCAGATCAACACCTGGATGTGGCGATGACTCGTAGCACGCAGTCGGTAGGGGAGCGCAAGCGGCGCGGCTCTGCTGACGAAGGGCAAGGACATCCAATGTATCAACAAACCATTCATGGTAAGGTATTAATATAAATGGTTTATAAGAAACGGGAATTATCGCGATCATTTAGGTAACCTATGATAATTTATTACTATTATCTTGACGTTTCGCTTTCGCTTAACGCTGGCTGTGGTCAGGCGTTAATTTCCGTTGCTTACAAACCATGCTTTTAAACCAATATGTAGTGCGAAAGCCTTAATAATATAATATTCCATATCACTATAAACGTGAACATATTTTTATATATTACAAAGATCGCAAATAAACATAATTAATCATCTATTTCTAAATAGTACTTGTGATGGGTGTCTATAACAAAACAGGATTCACGTGTTCATTACCGCCCCTGAAGAAATTTTAATACGCTATTTTTGAAAATCTTACATTGTAGTCTCTTGGGTAAATCTCGACAAGGTGCTCTTTCATCAGCCTGAGCATTTGCGGAAGGAAATTCTTCTAAAACCACACAACACACTGTAACATGGGGTGACAATTCATCCTTACGCACTAGAACCTAAATGAGGTTCTAGTGCGTAAGGATGAATTTTCTGAAATAACAGTTGTGTTATAAAAACAAGTAAATGCAATTTTGTTAATTTACTACTTTGTGATTAAAATTTGCCAATAAGTATTAAGTATAGGCAAATGAAATTTCATTAATTATAACATTCTAACATATGGTTTGCATATGATTTTGTGGGACATTAATTAATTATACCAGAGGGAGACTTTGTACAAAAGTCGATTGCTTGGGTACCTCTGTCCCATTCGTGTTTCAACCGTGAAGCATTTGTGTTTGTATGGCTGTGTTTCGTTTTAAAGTGTTTCGGTTTCGGTATGGCGTGAATTTATTGGGTACAAAGCAAGAATAACACCTGAGTCCTCAGGAATGGCAACGCATGGAGGGTATCATAGGCGAAACAATATACTCTGTTATGTCCATAGTACTGCTCATGTCTATAGGCGACGGTTACCAATTTCCATCAGGTGGGCCGTCAGCTTGTTTGCCTTTCTAAGTTGAATAAAACAAAAAAAAAAAAAATAATTTTCACACTTGTATAATGTAAAATTAAAAAGAAATCAGTTCAATAAAGACTCGTCTTAATGCTATGTTGCCTGAGGACAGTTTTATAGAATATCATATATATAACATACACCGTGTTCTTATTCTTGTTGTTATAATATTCTAGGTACATCAGGAGTAAGTCGTAGGCCCGCACTCTTCGACATATTCAAGTCCAAAACTCGCGGCGATGCCAAGAAACAACCGTCCATCATGCAGCAAGTCAAAGCTGCTGTTCAGGTGACTTTATATTTGAATTAAATTTATTTGAATTAAACCAACCTGACGATTAATATACGGAATGTCGTCCATGGTACCTCTCATGTGTTCCCATTTCTGAAGACTGAGGTGTTATATTTCTGTATGCAATAATTTCACTGCCATATCTCACATTTCAAATCATAATATGGCCCTATAAGCAAAGCTATTTAAAGGCAAAATTAGTAGGTCATGATTGCTTGATGATGTCTTGTCTATCGTTCGTCTTGACTATTAAATCTATTATTAATTTTTCATTTAATAATTCATTATCAAAATTTTGTACACTTATTGCCTTATATATATAGCTATGGGCCATATGGATACCGATATCTATATATTGGGTTCTGTGTGATAATTATGGCGGAAAAAAAGTCATTATCCATTTTGATATAGCCGATGCAGGTTGGATATCTATTTCCGAATATGTTAAAAGTCTATAAAATAATATTGGGTGCTAGCCTAATATTATTTTATGGACTTTTAACATATTCAGAATGGATAATGACTTTTTCCGCCATAAATATCCAACAGAACTCAATATATAGATATATATTGGGTTCTGTTGGATATTTATGGCGGAAAAAAGTCATTATCCGATACAGGTCGGATATCTATTTCCGAATATGTTAAAAGTCCATAAAATAATATTGGGTACCAACCTAATATTATTTTATGGGTAACAAACTTTTAATATATTCGGCATTGGTCCAGTACATGGATATTATAACTAGAATATATAGAGATTTGCTATATATTTCCACTCCTATTTGATAATCCAGAAATTAAGTGTATTTTAATTTTTACAGAGCATGACTAAGTCGGGCTCTAGTGCGAAAGATTCGCAGAAGTCATCGGAATCGCCGAAGGCCGAGACATCTAAAGCCGAACCGGGACCTAGTTCAAAGACTGCGTCAGTTAAAGCAAAGGACGGATCCGCTCACCCGCATCCCAGTGGTGATGCTAAGGTTAATATTATTATCCATGTAATCGCTGCTGCCCATCCCTCGATTATAAGTTCCCTGAATCGCCTCTTACGACAACCAAGGGAAAAAGAAGGGGTTGCCCGTTCTATGCCGAGATCGACACGGTGAATTTATTACGATTATTATCCATGTATTATAATTACGAGTTGTAATTCACGTAATTTAAATCAAACTCTTATACCGTTATTGAGTAACAAACATCCAAACATCATCACAAATTTTCACACCTTATTTTAATAATTTTTAGGTACCTTCTTCTTTTTGAAGTTGGTTGAAAAAAGATTGTATTAATAAAACAAATCTATCATATAAAAGTAAGTTAAATAAAAGTTAAAATTATATTTCGCTGCTCGATAATCTATTATTTAAATTCTTACATCTATATATAATACTGCTATTACTCGAGTTAGTGTGGCAACATCAGAGCATCATGTGAACAGTTGACTTCTGACGTAGTTTACGTATTTATTTATATATTCTCCTTTCAAATTCTGTAACAAAAACAATTGATATTTATTATTATGAAACTCTACTGAACAATACTTTTATATCCAACAGTATTACCACACTGTGATGGTGCCCCCCAACCGTCGCCCTAGTGCCATGGCTAAAGTGATGGACATCTTCCGTGGTCGAGCCTCGATCCCACCGACAGATGGCTCTGAAAGGCGGAGGGTAAGTACTGTTGTGTTTATTTATTACTAGATGGCTTAAATAAAATTTTGCCATTCCATAAACAGGTTCTTAAAAATATATAAATATTAATTGAAAAATACTAAACCAATCTATCGACATATACGATAGACAGAAATATACTGGACGCAATTATATTAGAGGTGTTGTCATCACATACTTCAAGTTGTATGAGAAATAAATGTCTTTGGTTAAAAAACAGGCTTCAATAGTGGCACGACGAGTTATTTTAATTTAAAACCAAATTACTAAACCGATTTCGATCACATATCTATGAGACCAATCTAAGAGAATAGCTTTTTGGATAAAAAATATTTTTCCAAATTGGTTTATAAATATGAATAACGGAGTTATGAGTTAACAAACATTAAAAATGCATTTGAATCAAGAACCTTCTTTTTTTGAAGTCGTTTGAAAAAGCAAATGTATTCATGTATATGGGTTTTTATGCGGCAGTTTAGAATGATCAGTTGTAGACTGAATATTATCGATTGTAATTAAATTGGAACCATTGGAACCATAAAAAATTACAATTGTAGGGTAGTGTACGATAACAGCCACATTAGTTAAAAATAACTGTGTCGTGGCTGTCAACGCCCACCTCCTCAAAGCAGAGGCTCTAATTGGTTTTACTTTTGCTTTTTTGGACTACGCGACTTGCAGACTAGAATAAGAATGTCGAAAGAGTTCCGACATTGATCGGAATAACCTTAGGTATATACGAGTAATTGAAAATTTATAACTCATCCACATCAGAAGTATAAAAATATTTTCGTTTTAGCTGTTTCACGTAGTTCTGTTTTCATGTGTTAGAGTAAGAAGTGTCTATATAGTTATTTAGGATAGGATCTGTGTACGATATTTCATTAATACATACATACTTGTCACGCCTGTCTCCCATTAGGGTAGGCAGAAACAATGGAACGCCAAATGTTTTATTTCATTAATATTCGTAGCTATATTCATTTAAGCATGAAATTGAGTTTTTTTTTATTTATAATATTTGCAGGATTTCAATACTGTATTAATTCACATTATACTCCTGTGAGTATCTATACACTTAATTAATAAAATATGTTGTTCCTTTATAAATTATTTCGAAATATACGCATTGGTGTATTTAAAATTATTTTAAAGATATGTAAAAATACATACGTATTTTCACATATTTTTGCCTATGAAAGCTTCGTTGTTGATTCTAGGGTAGCCACCAGAGTACTCTGTAGTGGGCACAGCCCATTCCTCCCCCCTCTCCCGCCAAATACGCCCATGAGCATATATGTGTGGTGGATTGCATCAAAATACCGTTGACCGACCGCGCAAGGCGCCTGGTAGATTTAGAACAATATGACTATAAGTGTAATTGCGTTTAGGTGATTTATATACAGGCAAGATATTGTTTTTATATGTGCTGCACTTGATAACGCTGAAGTTTATTTAAATCTCTCGATATAGACCAATAAATAATAAGAAAGAATATTATTGAAATATGGACCTAGGAATTGAAATGAATTTTCTGGCAATTATCGTCATTATTGTAATACACAGACATATAATTTTGCAAGCTGGGTGGTTGTAAAAGTGGTTGAAAATGGAATGGTGACCTTGTCTGCGCTATTAGTAAACGCTGGTGGGGCACCAGTGATAGTTGATTGATGAGGATGAAAACAGGTCAGTCTGCCCATCGTGAAGAATTCAATAACAATTAACCATGATGGTTTGCAGGGTGAATCGCGTGGAGGTCGACCTGATAGGGTATTTGTTTTCTGGTTGTCTGTAAGAGACTGCTTTTAGCATATACTCAGGCCATATAAGGCATATATAAGGCCGCCTTTTGTATATGCTCATTCTGTATATACTCCTTGTATACATCTCTATTGAGCGCAATAAAGAGTTTATTATTATTATATAGCTAGCAATGGGGCTGTCAGAACCCATTACTAACAATCCCTTTCCCCTATGTGCTAGGTTAGGATATAATCTACCAGTGTAATCTATCCATCCATACATACTTTCGTATTTATTATATTAATAGGAAATAATATGATTTATTCTAGTTATTGGTGTATGCTATTTGTATATTGCACGTTTTTGTGTTCTCTCAAGGTGATGGAACGTGAAATTAATACACAGCTCCTTGGATACCTGGAGTGTCACGATATGTTAAGCGAACACCAATACGGTTTTCGCCACCATCGTTCACCTCGTGATCTTCTAGTATACCTCACACACCGCTGAGCTCTTGCAATTGAAAGTAAGAGTGATGCGTTGGTTACTAGCCTTGATATAGCAAAGGCTTTCGATCGGGTCTGGCATAAAGGTCTTCTGTCGAAATTGCCTTCATAATGGCTCCCCGAGGGATTATGCAAATGTATCGCCAGCTTTTTGTTTAACAGATGCATTAAAACCGTGGTTAACGATAGTAGCTCCGACAGCATGGACATTAATGTCGGCGTCCTACAAGGCTCTGTGTTGCCCCCAACGCTGTTTTTGCTGCATATTAATGATTTGCTGGCTACGGTCGACATACATTGTTATGCAGATGATCGTACTGGAGATGTTTACTATATCCTCGTTCAGTTGTGGCGACTAACCGCGAACAACTTGTCTTTGAAATCGAGAGTACTCTTGCTAGAGTACTCAATTGGGGACGACTAAACTTAATCCAATTTAACCCATCTAAGAACAAGTTTGCGCGTTAATCGTTAAAAAAAAAAATTATTTACTATGGCTCCGCAGTGCTAGAATACATCTACTGACATCTCCAAAAGTATTGGGATCCTCAGTTTTGACATCTCCAGCAATGTGGAGTTCCGAGGTCATCTAGAATATAGGGTAGAATATAGGGCCGCAACTCCGACCCCACATGAAGTACTGCTTTCATCTATGGGCCCGAGCACCTGTATACTAGCTTGATCCTCTTGATGCGGTTCAAAGACGGGCTATGAGAATTGTTGACGATCCCAAGCTCGAGCCCTTAAGTCTAAGGCGAGATTTTGCGTCTCTTTTTATGTTCTGTCTGTTTTTATGCTTATATAATGGATTGTGTTTTGAGGAATTGTTTGATCGCTAGAGAATCGGTATAGCCGTCCATAGGCTACAATGATAGTTTATCATCAGATGACCTGTAGGCTTGTTTGCTACCTTTGTTTTAAAAAAAAAACAAAGTTTTTTGTAAGTTTCTAACATGATATCTGTGATATCGAATTATGATGAATTATGTTGGATAGCAGCTTTAAACAGATTATAATGTGTCTTATACTCGCGGAAGATGGTAATCTTCCAATACTAGATTTATTGATTTTTTTTCAATACTTGTCTGTAATGTCTGTACTTCTAGTGATTTCAATAATGTGTTGATTAGTTAGCCAGTTGTCCTTTGTAATATGCCAGCATATAAATTTATCTATTCCAAAAAAAAAATGTTATTTTTTTCATGTCATGTTTGATAAATTGTTTTTTGTTTGTAGAGGCACTGTACGATAGGATATGTTCTTGATGACAACTTTGTCTTCATTTATTAAAAAACATATAATGTAACACCATGTAATATAAATTAAAAAACCGGGATACTGAGTTCGATTGCATTTTTAATTTTTTTTTGTGTATGTGCGCTACACGTAGTCATTGCCAATTTTGAGTCGATTTTGATAATTGTAATTTTTTTTTGGACTAAGTTTAATTATATTATATATATATATACCTGGGGGTATTACATTTTTATAGTAGCAACTATTTACAAAATTGTTTTCAGACTTTGGTATTTTCCAATAGATATGAACCCAAGGTACTAAGTAATGAAATAGATCCTTTCAGTTATTTTGCGCAAAGTGTGCACGTGATAGTATTCATATCAAATAATCGCTATACGTTTTTACGAATCAAATTAATCTTGACTACCACTCGGACAAAGTCGCGGGCTTAGCTACTTAATATATTTTTTACTTTGGACAAATTTGAGTCTATTTATTATTTAATTACAAAAGAGAATATATTGCTCTAGATATTTAGTTATTAATTACAATGCCCACTGTTTAATTATTTCAATTATTATATTGAAAGTCGACAGCATTTCGACTTCTTTGTAAATAATATTATCATTATCATAGTATAATTGATTTTTGTTTCAATGTCGAATGTAACACTCATCCATACTCATTGCACGTCACATTTATGTTTAACGATAATGTGCGCATACTTTAGTGTAATGAAGAGCTCTGAGAAACAATCGCGCCCCGTTTGTATTTGGCCGACAACTGACTTATTGTGATCTATTGAAGTGTTGGTTAAAAGAATCGCATTATAGTTGAGTGAGAATATCGCAGGATAATTTTTTAACTGTTGTGCACTGTACCTTTTTAGTGTTTACAATTTTCACCGTGCATTTAATTGTTAGTGCTGAAAAGATTTTCCGTGATTTATATGCTATGGGCACTACAGATTTTCAATAGGACTTAATGAAAAAAAAATTACCATGTTTTTTTAAATTATCATAGATGCTTTTTCTAAATGAAATAGAAATTAATCTATTTTTAAAGGATCAAGATAACTATTCGTTTGTTTATATATTTTTATTAAGTTTTATTGAAACAGACCATAGTAGCATTTCTGTGATTGTAGGCCGGTAAGTGGCGCGTGCGCATCTCGCCGCGCATTTCCCAGTTCCGCAGCGGAACAACACAGCTGGATGTTGGTGGCGTTACGTTGCATAACAATAACGCCGCCTCGTGACATAGACGTTATCGTTCAGTACTTAGGGAGATGCCTCCGCGATCTAACCTCCTCGCTCACATTCGTATGTTTACAACGGACACATTCGTAGACTAAATAAAAAACAGTATGTATTACATATTGTGATTGTTAATGGTAACGATGGCGAATTACTTTCGCTGGAAGAAAGGTAAACGGGACGATGATTTGTTTTACTCCGAGAAACCACGGAGCAGGTCGCTAGATCCGAGATCGTTAGAGTTGAGCGGCAT